AAATCGGTGCTCGTTCACGCGAGTGACAATCACGCAGTGTGAATTATCAAAGACGCGATCTGAGGAAATCGCCGACGGGTCGCCGACAAAATATTTGGCATGCTAAATATCTGGAGCTGTCGCCGAATCACAATCATGCTGTGTGAAATGAGTTCTGACTGAAAAACACATGGGCGATGCTACAGCCAATGAGAGACCAAGATACAGGGCAGCGGGAAGCAGTGATGCGATGTCTTTGAAAATCGTGCAGTGTGAACTCGGCATTGGATGAAAACAACTGAAATAAAAGAAGACATTAAATATCTCAAGATCTGATTAAACAACCCCACAAACAGCATCACCAGCTCCCCTTATTAATAACCAGACTGACTTTATTTCTGTCAGATGTCTACAGAAGATCTTATTGAGAATTAACTTTGGAGCTAAACAAGGTTTAGATGTTGCTTTATTGTTTTGTTTGAAGTAACCATGTTAGAGATCAGTGTTTGCTTTAGTTGCTCTTGACCCTTGACTTTTTTGTTAGTTTCTTTTTTTCTCTCTGGTTATTGTAACCATCTGTTCCTGAAACATGTTTGTTATAACACAAAAGGCCAGAAAAAAAAAATCAAACATAAAAGGTGTTTGTTGTTATATGTTTCTGATGGCAATCATCAGTTCAATCAACTGTTCTCATTTGGAGTCTAATCTCTGGTTAAATTGATGTTGTATTGTTAGTTGTACTGATTATAGTAAAAGTGATTCTGAGAGCCAGTGGTTCTGTGACAACCAGTTAATATAAACTTTACACTTTGTGCACAAAAAGTTTTCGTCTGTGTTCCATATAATCAGACTCACACAGATGTCAAGAATCAGCATATGAATCTAAACAATGGTGAAAATTATCAAATATTTCAGATAAACCTCTGAACATAACAAAACAAGCAACTAAAGCCATAACAAAAACAGCAAACATAAAAGCAAATAGTAAGAATAAAAGAAAATAGACAATTCACCTGTATTATTTATTCATGCTTCATTCACAGGTTTATCTGAAATATTTGATCATTTTCACCATTGTTGAGATTCATATGCTGATTCTTGATGTCTGTGTGAGTCTGGTTAACACCGTAGATGAAAACTTTTAGTGCACAAACCGTTTGGAAAGTCTTTTATGTTAATTGTTTGTCACAGAACCACTGGCTCTCAGAATCACTTTTACGATAATCAGTATAATGTTAATTTAATCAGAGATTAAACTCTAACTGATGGTTGTCATCATCAACACATAACAACCAACACCTGGGGCCTGTTCTTCGTACGTCGTTAACTCAGTTAGCTGGATTTGGGGAAGTTGTGGC